GATGTGTAGTATTAAAACTCATCTTATCTGAAAATATTAATATTTAAGATATTTTAACATCAGAAGTCACAGGAAAACAATTAGGAAAATAACTCTGATTCTTGATTAAATAACTAATTTGGTAGTAACACTAAACTTTTAAGACATCCACCTCACATTTTTATGATAAAAAGTAAATGAAAAGAAGTGAAGCAGACATCACAGATTTATTGAAAGTCAAATACTGGATGATGCAATGATCCATACATAACTTTAGTTGGGAAGTTACAACCTGGTTTTAAAGGTGTTTATTGATACTATTCTATCAGATATTTTCCACTTTGAAAGTAATAGAAAAACCTAGCAATTAAGTTGAAGTTAAAAGGTTAAATGCTGCTTAAAAAAATAATCAAAGAATTCTGAGAGAGATAATAAAGGACACATGAGAATGTCAAACTTATGGGGGACAAATTCATTCAGTAAAGTTGAGGAATGCCCCTGGTATGTGGTCACGCACTGCTCGGAGGGAGGGTCAGGCGGGTATGGCAGGCTCACTTGACCTCACAAGGCTCATAGTCTGGCAGATAAACTTTTGTTTAGTTCTCACATTAAACAACCAGCAATTAACAGGCATAAAGTTTTTTTTTTGCTTCGGTTAATTTCTGGAAAACAGTATTTAAGGAGGAATATTATGTATTCCGTAAAGAAACAACTGAATTCATTTGTTAATGTAATTGTCTTTCCTTAAAATATTGTTATAGTTAAAGATGGAGCTGAAGGTTACATGTGAATTTTGCTCTATTTGGAAACCAAAAATAGTTGGGGTCATATTAGTTGGTGCAAAATCTACATTTGAAAATGAGAGAAATTTATATTGTATTCATTTCCATTATAATGTTATTTACATGTGTAGAGTATATCATGACTTTGAAGGACTGTTTTCACATTCTTAGATATGGATTAGGAGAAAATTACTTGAAATTTAGTTTCATAAACTCATTGATTGTTCTCAGTTTTTTAGTGTCTTTTCTAATACTTTCATCCTCATTTAGCGAGCAAATAATATTTTTATTTCTCGGTAAATTTTATGAAAGAAATAAAATGTCTTTCATTAGAAATTACAAGTACAAAACCTGTAAAATTAAATACAGTATGAAATACTTTTGAAATTTTCACACAAGAACAGTTTATCTAATGCTTTTTGTGAAATAGTTACATTCTTTCCTTGAAGCATAATTACTATGAGACAATGGCATAAATGCATCTAAAATATTTAAAAACCATTGACAAATGTATACTGGTAATTACGAGGATTTTCAAAGTGAAAATATACCTTAACAGTAGATAGATATTTTTAGGAAGTGTTTGCTTGCAAATGTGTTTGCTGATCAAAGTTTCCCACTGATTTCCATGTAAATTTCAACTTGGTGTCTGGTTGTGAATATTTGATGGAATGCTGACTTTGCTGTGAGTTCTCTCCCTCAGGCAGCCTTTATTTCAGCCGTTACTCTCTTGATCTGAGGAGACATGAGAAGAGACTCCCTCAATTTCCTTCTGATTACTTGGTGGCAGAAATCTGTTACTAGGGTCCGCAAGGACTGACCTCCAATTTGGCTCCCTTTAATAGGGCAGCTGGGGAACAGAGCCTGCTTTGAGAGAGATAGAAGGTAGGGGAAGACTAAAGTCAGGATGTTTTGGGGAAATAGCACTTGAGTGAAGATATTCTTGCTCTAACCACCTCCTATTCACACCATTGATGAAAGAGGGACCCCCCCACCCCCCAATTAATATGAGATGGCCAAACATATGACACCGGAAAGATGAGATTTACAGCAGTTTATTGGTCGCATACACTCACAGTCCTCACAGGAAGGAGGACACCATGTGCCATGCAGGGCTCATGGGGGATGCAGTTGGGAGCAGAGTGAACCAGCAGGGGCTGTGTGAGGAAGACTTCGTAGTGACAAGAGAGTTGGGTGATCCTTGGTTCCCACGGAAGGATGTGATTTGACTTGTTTGATAATTTCATGAGCTGGTAGGGAGGAAAGGAAACTGGCTAGGTTGATGATAAGGTGGGAAGGAGCTGGTCTGGCTGATAGGGGAGCTAGCTAGGAAGGGAGCCTTTTCCACTGGGTGGAGGGCGTATCTGGCAAGAGCAGAATTTACAGCTAGGTCTTTGGGACTCCAAGAGGCTCAAAGATGTCAAGGCAGTGCATGGAATTTTAGTCTTTACAATACACTTCTCATGATTAAAAGTTTAGTGGAGGCAGGACGGAGGAGGAAGTAGTACCTCTGCCAGCTGCTGAGGGAGGTCCTGTCGGGCTGGGGTGAGAGTCACTGCAGGTTGCTGGGCCACTATCACGATGAGGTCCAGCTGGCTGTCCTCAAGGAATAGTAGTAAGTAGCAGGGTTTCTACCCATATGTGATAGCTTGAGTCAAGGCACCACAGAACAGGAATCTGGTTTGTCAGAGGTAGGAGAGTGTAGTGGCTTAAGGGAGTGCAGAAGCTGGCATGCCTGGCTTACATTTGGGCTCTTATCAGATCTGTGGCTTCTGGAAGGTTATTTAATCTCTTTGTACTTCTGTTTCCTCATTAGTAGTAGAATAGTAACTGTCTTATGGAGTGGTTGAAATGTTAAATAATATCTGTAAGCACTTAATAAATATTAGCTATTATTATTGATTGGGTACGGAAGTTACCCCAACCACCTTCTCAGGGTGACTTAGCCTAAAGCAGTAGTCAGGGATGAGGACAATATGATATCGTTAAGATCACCTAAACCTTGGGGCCAGCCTGGTGGTGCAGCAGTTAAGTGCACATGTTCCGCTTTGGCGGCCCGCGGTTCCCGGGTTGGAATCCTGGGTGCGGACATGGCACTGTTTGACAAGCCATGCTGTGGCAGGCATCCCACATATAAAGTAGAGGAAGATGGGCACCGATGTTAGCTTGGGGCCAGTCTTCCTCAGCAAAAAGAGGAGGATTGGCAGCAGATGTTAGCTCACGACTAATCTTCCTCAAAAAAAAAAAAAATCACCTAAACCGCACTGAATGTCTTTATTTCTCTTTACAAAGTTTTGAATTGATAGACTGTAAACAGTTACTTAGAAGCTTTGCACTTAGAAAATTACTAAGGTGTATTTTAAATAATGACCATTTAGAGATTCTCCTATCTAAGAGTATTGCTATTTTGAAAGCAAGACACTGTGCCTATTACATAAAAGGCATTCAGTGAGTGTTTACTGAATAACTTCGGAAAAAATGAGGCATTATTACTATCAAATTATGGAACACCTCCCTAGCTTTATCTGTAATATTTACAGGTAGATTGAACAGAAGATTAGTTATAGTACAGTGTGTAGAGTTGCTCTAGAATGATCATATAGAAGGCACTTTGCTATTGTATGCTGGTTGGAAGAAGGACACTTGTCTTGAAGCTTCACGTCATGGTCAGCACCTACTGTTTGTTTGGGTGGCTGGCATAGGGATACCGATGGGCGAAGAAGCCCTGCCAAGCCACGTCTACTGTGGGAGCAGGAGGGAACAGAGGTAGAAACAAAATATTTATTTTTAGTGAATAGTAATGTATTCTTCCTGTCCTTCTCATAGATATGGCTGACTTCCAAGCAGTCTTCCTAGGCTTGGTGGCTAGAGAAGAAGAAATTCATGAGGAAGCGTTTCCCCCCTGCCCCCCAGAATACAGATATGAAGCTTTGCTTGAAGTCCTTGAATTTAAAAGCAGCTAATTTTTTCAATTCTCATTTATTAAGAGATCTTCTTAAGAAGAAAAATCTAGTATTCATGGAATGGATGTCAAAAGCCCAGTGAGCACTATGTCACTGAAGAAGTCTCTCAGCCATTGCCCTGCAATGGTTTTAAAGCAAGCAATCCCCTGTGGAAAGTGCTGCCTTTGATATCAAAGGGTCATTACAAGTCCCATGACACTTAACTAAGATTTAAAATTATTCATCTCTACCTCTTGGCAAGGGTTCAAATTTGAGATTGAATTTCCTTTAAGTGGTTAAGGCATTTATAGTCCCCCCTGCATGATGCTTTTAGGTAGTTTTGTTTTACTGGAGGAGTGCTGTCTTCAGGAGACTGCAGATGAAGAGACACTTGTCACTTACAGGCTTAGTGTTGTCACATTTAGAAAATTCACCTGGTCCTTTGGTTTATGTGTTCTAATGCATTCCTTTTGTAAATTGTAAATTGACAAAATTCCTTTATCATTTTAAAATTGCTTAAAGTCTTCGTTTTTCTATCTTCCTTGTGAGAAACTCCCTGAGCACTCTTACCTTAGTAGTTCTTTGTGAAATGTTTTAAAGAAATTCCAGAAGTGGTAATACTGAGACGGGCCCTGTAGATACAAAGTGCTGAAGCAAAATATGATGCTAAAGTGTGATAAGAGAATAAACTGGACTTCGCTGTGATAATCAGGGTGTGATAAGGTTTGAGTGCAATTCTTCTGAATTTTTAAATTCTTTCAGAAAACGTAGTTAATGTCACAGAAAAATGTTCCAAAGCAGTAACATAAAGCAATTTTTAAAAAGTAACTTCTCATGTACACTCTTTTAAAATGTGGTAAGTGCTATCAAGTCTCTTAGTTGGGATCTTTAACTATATATAGTTTTTGCCTTTCGTATTGTGCCCAGATCCCATTTTATGTAATTTGAATACAAATTCCTATGTATTGAGGACCTTGATTCATAGGTTCCATTCATTTTAGTTCCAGTTGGTGTTTGTCATCCCTTTTCTCCTGTCAGCCTCTTCATACATTCGCTCTTCTTTTCATCACACTGTTGTTCCCAAGAATGGACTGGGGTTCATTTTATTTATTTGTTTCTTCGCTCCAGGCAGCGCGGCTCTGATCTCTGTCCAGCGTGGGCTCGGCATTGACAGCAGCTGGCGGGTGCGGCTCTGGGCAACGGCGCCGGGGGCGTGGCATGGAGGGGGCGTGGCCTGGCGGCGGGGCGGGGCTTGACTGGGGGCGGGGCGGGGTTTGCCCGCGGAGCGCGGCGGGCGGGCGCGTCTCAGGTTGGCAGCTTCTAGCCGAGCCGGCGGCGACGGCTGCGGTGGCCAGAGCCAGATGCTCGCGGACTCCGTTCGGCCCCAGCCGTTCTTCTTGTCCGCGCAGCGCCAGCTTCCTCGCCCGAGAGGGAGACCCGGCGGCGCTCTGCCCGAGGACCCTGGTGTCTCAGCCTCAGGGTTCCTCCGGTGAAAGCCAAGCGCTCCCAGGTGAAGCCAGCATCCCAGAGCGGTCCCGGAACGCCCGCCGCCAGATCGCACCTCTTGGGAACCTCGACCGCTGAGCCTTTTCCAGCGCCTGCACCGCGGGGCGCGCGGGGAGAGTGGGGTCCACAGCCGGGGAAGGGGGGACCAGGACATCGATGATGGATGCACGGACCTGGCGCGTGGGCTGTCGCTGTCTCCTCCTTCTGGCTCTCGTCGGGTCTACCCGAAGCGAGGGCGTGCAGAGCTGCGAAGAAGTTCGGAAAGTTTTCCAGTGGCGCCTCGCGGGAGCTGTCAAGGGGCTGCCGGATTCGCCGCGGCCAGGTAAGGCGCGGCTGGCAGGCGCGGGGCAGTGCGCCTGGGCGCGGGCCGGGGTGTCCTGAGGGCCGGCCCTGCGCAACCCAGGCTCGGGGGTGCTCCTTCGTGGGAAGATGACCTTTCAGGCTCTCCGGCCGTGCAAAGTGAACCCGGGGGAGGCCTTGGGGAAGCTTGGTGTGAACATCCCGAGCGCGGCGCAGCTCCGGGGACTCCCTGCCTGTGCCTGCGGCTAAGCCGAGCTCTGGCCGTTTGCTTCCCGCCGGGCGCTTAGCCTCGGCGATGCGTTGGAAGAGGCCAGGAAAGCTGCCAGCTGGGGACGGCGCGCCCTGCCCGCCTTCTCTTCCGAGTGGGAATTTCTCCAGGGCCCCGCCGGGGGGCCTCGGTTTGCTGCTTTCTCGTCTGGTGGACGGAGTTGGGTTGGTCTCTCCAAGTTTGATACTAAAACCGCATCCCTGCGTTATCCTTTTTTGTTGGAGAACGGTGCACTGACGAGGGCAGCCGGTCTCCTCTGTGGTTAAGACTCGGACCCCGTACACCCACCCACACTGGCGTGGCCCTCAGCCTCCCTTCCGCGCCCTGGCACCAAGCCCTTTTTGCTGGAACCTGGACTACCCTGTGTGTCGCTCGGAACCAGCGGGTAGTTTCCACACCTGAAAGGTGTGTCGGCAACAGGCAATCACACTAAATGTATTAGGGAGCCACTTAACGCGGATGAAATGTGCGGGGGATCGAAGGGGAAAGAGTACAGTGAGTGGGTCCAGTGTAGAGTCCGCTTCCCGTCGGCGCCTCTTGCCCGCGCCATTCCCCCTGCTCCCCGCCCCACAGCGCAGGTGTCCCTCTGCGGGCGGGAGTTCCCGTTGCCCTGCGGTCTGGAAGAACGGGTCTGCGTTGTCAAACGCTGTAGCAGGTGTCTGGAGCTAAGCTCTTACTGAAGCAATTCACCCTGACTAGGAAGCCAACGCGGAGGAATGCTGTAAGCTTATTGGTTGAACAAAGAACTTGTGAAGGTGGCCTGGGTGTAAAATCCATCCTTTGCCCGAGTTTTTAGGGTGAGGAGACTTGCTCTTAGTACTATGGGGCTGTAGGTATTTTGTTTGATTGCTTTGCTCGTTGTGGACTCAGTTCTCAAGTCATCCCACAAGGAAAATCTGGGCGTTTGGGAACACTGAGTCCATTTTGGTTTACATGACCAGGCTTTTAAACAAACACAGGAAAATTTATTTGAATACCTATTCGGCTCTAGTTGCTTTTTCTATGCTACTTGAAACAACATAGTTGATATTCTCAGTGTAGGGCAATTCTTCTGTCCTCAAACAATAGTACCCCCTTATAAACCTGTTTCCTTATTTTGGTGCATTCTTTTCATTAAAAAAGAAACTTGACTTATCAGTAGTTAATACCACTAAAGCGGGTGTGTGTGTTGGGGAGAGGGATGCAGAGAGGGCGTTGAGCTGGGAAATCCTCACCTCCATTATTACATTTTGCCCCAAATGTCATAATTTTGGCTACCTTCGGGGAATATTGACAGCTCCCCAGTAAGGCCTTGATTTCACCACCTCTCATATCACTATTTCTGGTACCTGCTGCGTGCAACTCATTGACTAAAAGGTGTTACATTTCTGGAACCTTGTGTATGCCATGTCTTCTGAAGAGGAACTTCCCAGAGTATCAATCACTGGCATAGCATTTTACCAGGATGTAAGGGGACACTGAAGCTCTGCCCTAGAGAGAAGGAAATGGTTGTACTTATTTGCATTTGATACACATGAGACACAAAAAGAGCCAGGATGGCAAGCACCTACTTTTCTAGAATATTCTGGATTGTTTCCCCACTGCTGGTACTTTCCTTTTTCTGTGGCCTAACCGAATGTCGGAGGAATCACAACAGCCCCTCCTGAAGGGGCCTGGCAGGACTGCACTCTTAGAGACGTCACTGGTGCTGGTGAAAAGAAGTGCTAAATTCTTTTCATATTTACCTTAAGAAAAAGTCACATGAAAGTATTATTCTGAATTAGAATCCCCCAATAAACGGCATTTGCAGATGAATTTGATATAATTCTGAATTTTTCTTTTCTCTGTACTGTCATTGTTTTATTTGAGTAATTAAATGTGATATTAAACTGTTTCTGTTGACATTGATGTTTCTCTTCTTCCCATTGAAAAATCTCATTCCCAAACCCACAATACCACACACTCCATAAATGCTTTTGTTTTTGTATTTATCTATGATTTATAATATTTAGCTTGATAATGTATAGTAGTTGGCTATCTTGTTTTCTAAAATTATCCTCAATCTCAAGAGAGAACATAGTCAATAGCTAAGTAGTCATCCTCACATCAGAGTACAAATATTAATATTCTTTATAACAAATGTGTGTATTTAGCACATAGGCTTTCATTGACTAAAACTAATACATTTAAATTTGCTATTTGTTTTCTTTAAAAGTTTGTTTTTTTAGTCCTTTCTTGCGTTTCTTGTCCACAAGTGGTTAATTTCTGAGATGTCTAGCCAAAATGCCATTTTTATAATATAAGCAGGTAGAATAACTTTTTACAGTTTATTCCTACCTTTGTGACATTTATGTCTTCTGAAAATGATGTTACCCAACTTGAAATTAATAAAATGGTGAGAACAGCCATGTAAGCTGTTTCTCAGATTCCCCTCACTTTTGTTCTCTTCCCTGCTCCAATTCTTTTAAGCCCGTTGAGCTCCTAAGGATGTTTGGATGAGAAATGTAAAAAAGGAGAGAAGGTGTAAATGTGATTAGAATTTCAGATTTCCCTGTGTTCTGATTTTATTTCCTAAGTAGTAGTCAAGGTGCCCTTTGCTCTTGTTTATTTTATTCAGAAAAGAACTGTTAGGGAAAGTGTCTTTTAAAGGTCCTTTTATTTTTATTTTATTTATTGGGCAGGAAGGATACTGCTTTCCCATTGAAATTCTCTTCACACATGCATTAGTATTTCCTTTTTTAAAGAAAATAATTTAGAAAGGAGAAGCTTATAAAAAAATCCAAGACTACATTCAGATAATTTATACTCCAACTATTTTTAAAATGTGGATGTTCCTTGATACAGAGAGAAGTTTGTGAAAGATAACTTTTTTTGATAGCTTTTGGCTATAAATGGGATAATAAAAATAAACTTGATGTGGTAAAATGAGATTCTAATACTATTGGACACTTTAAGTACTGCTCTATAGTTTTCTTTTTTTAAGTGCTTTCTTTATAATTGATTTTTATAATCACTTCAAGGACAGTGTTTTTTCATTCTCATACCTAAGATCTACCTGGTAACCTCAGAGTTTGGAATTATGGACATCAGGGTTTCAGAATTTGGTTTGGCCACCTGTAGCTCTGTGTTCTAGGTTACTCATTTATCCTCTTTGAAATTCTGTTTCCTCATCTGTAAAATGGAATATTTGCTCTTAAAGGATTGTTACTTAAATGAGATGCAATAATATATGTATGTAAAATAGCACAGATCCAGGCACATAGTAAGTGCTCAAAAATGTGTTACTGTCATTACAGTTTTTATTTGGGGTCTTGATTTTTTTTGTGAGGAAGATTGTCTCTGAGCTAACATCAGTGCCCATCTTCCTCTATTTTGTATGTGGGATGCAGCCACAGCATGGCTTGATAAGCGGTGCATAGGTCTGTGCCCAAGATCAGGCTGCAAACTGTGAACTTAACAATTATGCCACTGGGCTGGCCCCTTGGGCTCTTGATTTTAACTGGACTTGGCCTTTAAGGGTGAAATTTTAATTTTAAATCTCTATATATCAGAAGATTTTTTTAAAATAATAACTAGTTTTTTTTAAAGTCAAATAATTGTTTCTAAAATTGGGAAATACGTTTTTACCTGAAATGGTATTTATTAGGTTATGGTTAATATTTTTTTTCTTTTCATGAACTAATGGAACTCTAAGAAACATATGAGGCTGCTCCACTGCTGGCAGCAGCACCCACCACCACTGCCTCTACTGCCACTGCCACCATTCCACTGTCTGTGTTCAGGGAGATGGCATAGTACATACAAGGTGGTTAAGGGATTCACATAATTGGATGACTGGTGGCCATAGTCACTCATTGACAGTAATCTCAAATTGGGACTCTTGTTTCTCATGGACTAGCTCCTTTTGCTGCTTGAGTTTTGAAGTTCCAAAGCCATGAAAGGGACCCATCATCTGATGTTGGGGCAGAATGTTCATATCAGAATTGTCCTGTGTTGAAGCCCACCAGCCAGCCAAGAACCCCCAGAAACAAACCTATAGTCAAACAAATTAGCTTCCTTTTGCTTGCTACAGTGAGGGAGATCGCACCCCACAAGAGCTACAGGTGTCTTGGTAAAAGACAGTTAGAGGGGCTTTTTATAGGATTAGGGCTTGTGCTGGATAGTTATCAGGAGAGTTTAATGAAGCAGGGCAATTGAGGAATTGGGTGTCTTTGTAATTTATCTACGTGTTAGGAAGATTAAGGTGGGGGTGGCTGTCGATAATGAAGAAGCAGTAGTCACTCTTGGTCAAAAGAGGGGCATGTTTAGTCATTTTTGTGGTTGCGGAGTGTCCTTGTGGTTATCCTGTGGCACCACAGGTCTCAAGTGGTTTTGTCTCATCATTGTTTTTTTATTCTGTGCTTGTTGTCTGTGTTGAGTTGTAAACATCAAGACCTAGTTCCAGTGTCAGGGCAGCTTGACACTTTCCCCTCTGGAAAATCCAGTGTGTGCTTTGATGTCTAAGATAATCATGTGTTTCATTTTTATCCTGGGTTTTCTTAAAGCTTAATGATAGGGAAGCCAGTATAATTTTCTACTTTGGGTCCAAGAGTATGACTGTCCCTCAGGGGCCTGAGTTGTACTAATCACACCCTATTCCCTCAATTTACTAACAAATATAAGTGTTGTGTGTGTGTCTTCATCTTCCGTCCATCCCACAATGTTAGTTCCTTTTTGCCAAGTGTCCAACATCCTATATTTGTATAATTGGCTTTAGCAAGGGTGCAGTTTGGGGA